TCGGGGCCCTCCCCCGTTAACCGGGTCTGCTGATAAATGATGGAGAGCGGCTTGGCTAGCTCCTCCTCCAGCTCTCTCAGCACCCTCCGGTGGATCCCATCTGGCCCCACAGACTTGTGAGCATCCAGTTTACCTACTAGGTAAACTGTTTCTGGTACAGGATCATGCAAATGGTTTCCGCTAGTCTGCTTTCTTATACATACAGACGATACTAGGAGGAAAGATTATGTAACTCAGTGGTTTTGGTTTTTCGTTTAACTGTATATCTTTGTGTATTTTCTGCTTCTCTACAGCTTTTCTCATCTTTTTCCATAGCTGTCTCATGAGCTTAACATTATCACCTCATTATCAGTTAATTTTAAAAAGAATACTCAAGGGCAGTATCATTTTTGTCTTTCAAATCTTACTTTCACCTGCATGCTCTGGACCCGCCCCAGCACTGATTCAGAATACAGTGCAAGAATCACTAAGTAACTGCTTGTGTCTGTTTAACTCTTCACAGTGTCCAGAAAAAAGAGCATTACCACCAAATGAAAACACACCTACACTTTAATTCTTCATATGTTTCCGTCGTAAGTTAACTACTGCAGCTCTTACCTTAATATACCTGAATTCCTCTAAGCCTCTAATTAGCCAAAATATTGCTGTCAGTTTTCCTGTAGTCACATACCTTTGTTTGTCCACTTAAGGAACAGTCTTGAATTGGATTCAGAGGACTTGCACGACAGAAATTCAACTTTCTTTACAAACACTGCATCTCTACTGCCTGCTGCTACCCTTACCTATCATTTTCACAAATCCCTGAATTACATTTATGACTGTTTTTGGCTTTGCAACTGCTGCCATCTGATTTATGGATCTCTGCAACTCTTGTAAGAAAGCAAAAACCTCTTCCATGCTTAGTGTCCAATTTCAGTGTAGCACAAATGATAAAATTACAGAATAAAATAGTAAATTCCATTTAAGAGCAACATACTACTTAACAAGCTTGATTTGATCTCGAATGCAAGTTACAAGTTAAGAAAAATGTTGTAGTTCACCTGTGTTCGAGTAGGAAGCTTCCCTTTGGTATCAGCTGCCAATTTCCCCTTGTTAGTAATACGTGCTGCTTGTTCCTTACAGAAATTGATGTGTCTGTCAGCTGCATTTTCGTTAAATCTCCTCTGACAATATGGACACTGAATGTAATCTTAAAAACAGAAAAACCTAACATTAATAACGTTTTTTTTTAAAAATAAAGCATTTTAAAGTCTTTTAAAGACCAGCCCCACACCCAGAGAAAATTAAGGCCTCTTGAATCTGAAAATGAAATACATATCGCTGGGGAAAATAATATCATCCAGATGTAAAACAAAAGATGTTTCTTGTTTGATGGATAAGAATGAGAAGAGTGGTTGAGGATCAGAAATAACCTAAGTGAAATCAGAAACACTTAGAGATGCTATTCAGCAGAGGTGGCCAAAGAGTATATGGTCATGGCAGGGATATCAGCTGGAAGGAAGTGCGGAAGGGAAGAGGCTAAACAAAACAAAACAAACAAACAAAATCAGGCACAGAGTTCAGTTTGTTCAAGACATGAAAATGCATTAAAACCTTTTCCATACAAATAGCAAAAGACAACAAAATCTGTTTCCTCTGGCAGTTTTGAAAGGACTGAGAAATACTAACTGCAATACTGGAAATTATCATTAAAAAAATTAAAATTGGAAATTTAACAAAAAAAGAATCAGAGGAAATCCAGCCAAAATTAGGAGCTATCTATAGAGACATGCAAAACAGGGTAATTGGTGGCTGTATTATTTTTCAAGATTAATTTAGTCACATTACAAACTACCACTTGCAGGAAATTTTATTACTAATGTTGGGGAAAAAAAACAGAAAGGCTATGTAAATGTTTAAAATACTGAAAGATCCCTCATCTGTATGCTGGAAATATTCCCCTTAAAATTCACTGCCCTTGGAAAGTAAAACGTTTGGACTGCAGTTTCAGACAGACATTTTAGTGTCTAGAGACATGGATGTTGAATTCCCCAGATTACAGTATTCAAAACCATGTAAACATCAACTCCAGACGAGCTGGACACTGGCAAAGCAGGTTAAATTAGTATGTTCCCAGGTGATTTTTAGAAGTGTATTGAAGAACATGAGGAGAGATTCAACAGCCGCTGCCTAGAAGCTCACAATTAGGTATTATACAATCCAAAATAAGAGTTGGATTACATGTTACTACTCCAAATGCAGCAGATCTGGCTTAAGTAGTTATCCCTTTAAATTAACAAACAATTTTGAGTAAGTCGAATGATGCAGCAGCCACCAAACCATGAACTGTGACCCAAGAAGTGTGAGCAAAGGACACAGGAAGAACACAGAAATCCTTCACCGAAGTGACAGCATGGGAGTCTCACGTGATAACAACAATGAATTTTTATTTATTTATTTTACATAAACTCCACTACTGTCAGAATACTCAAACATAAGATATACCTTAAGAGCTAGAAACTCTGAAGAAAAAGAACTGTAATATCTGTATGGTCAAACCAAGATAAGCCTAAACAAAGTTAAGAAAAAAAAGATAAAAAAGCAAAATAGATTAATAAAGCAGCTATGGAAGCCCCTAAATAATAAAAGACATTTCTAGCTGGGGCACAGCTCAGTTCCCACAGAAGACTTTCAAAGCCCACTAAAGTAAATGGATCAAACTGTAGAGGATTAATGTACACTCTTTTAAGAATCAGGGATTGTATCTTCATGCTTCTGTAAAATGCTTAGCACCAGTCAGCCACCTGGCTAGGTGGAAGTACTGTTCGTACTGTGCAGAAGAACTGTTAGGATTCAATGTAAGCTTTATAAAATACAAACTAATCAAAATAAGTGGGCAGTACACATATGCAGTCAAGTTCAATGCAAATGGGGTGACTTAAGGTCCTTCCTAGTATCATGAGGCTATTTCACACTTCTTTAAGGAAAAAGTGGAACAGGAGATCAAAGAACCAGCAATACTGCTTGTTTGCAAACTCAAAGCACGCAATTAAGTAGGAAACAGTACCACAGAACTCTTTTAAAGGAAGAAGACTAGCAGCTACTTAGAAATAGGCATGCCAAAGACAGAGCTGAGTAGGAGGAGGATGGATATACTCCATGATACCCATGCATAATTCTCCCTCTCTCCTACACGAAGCAGCAGGGTAGCTGTCCCTTCTCTATTATTGTTCCGTTCTATTTGTGGGAAGAGAATCCATTGATCAATTTGTGCATCTTCTCTTCATCCCTGGTTCCCTCCTCCTAAGTCTCAGCCACTGCAGCAGGATGAAGCTAGGAGACTACAAACAGTAAGATTCAGCTTAGAAAAAGTAAAAAACGGAAGGAAGAGAAACAGAGGCACAATATTTTTCTCTTCCCTTTACCTCCTATCTGCTTTCAAGCAGGCCGAATAGAGTTACTTCCTTCGCTTCAAACTCATTTGCGGTCTCTGGAACCAAGGGAGAACCATTTTAGTAGCTTTCCAAGCTAGATTTAGTTCTGGGCTCTTCTGCTTGTAATTCAGAACCTATACAACTAGCTTGTTAACGATCCTTTCCATGATCGAGCCTTATGTTTCTTATCCACAGCATTAGCTATTGGTTTTACTTTACTTTAAAATGCATATGGCATTTCAAGATAGAGTGTACTGAATGATGAGTAATACGACTTCACTCCTTACTATGAATGCACAATTACAATCCTAATACTGGACTAATGCATTTCCTGTAGAGAAACAAGGTAGGGAACACTCACATTCTCACTTGCTCAGACAGGCAGAAGCAAACAGATGATTTTTTCTGTTTTTCCCAATCTTTCTGAAAATAGCCACTGACCTGATCAAATGGTTTAGCTCTTAGATCAACAGGAAGAAATATATTCTCCAACCTATTATCACATCACAGGAGTTAACTGAAAACTGTATTTTCTTCTCACTAACATCAGACTGCTTCAACACTTTACCCAGCCTCAGTTCTGAAGACACCCAAGGACTGTTACTCCCTTGTTAATACAAATTCCACACGTCTCACATACCCAAAACGCAAGTACCCCTACCACATGAGGAAGGATCCCATGCACACTAGAGCATACACTGCATACATGAAACTAAATGTGGATTCAGCAAGAAATGGGAGAGACTACATTTGAAGAACATAGTCGACGTGCATTCCTACAATGTAAACAGGTTGTGGGTGTCCAGCATCGGCAACTAATTAAAAAGGTAGTCTGCTCTTTCTGAGCAGTTCCACTGCTGTGGACAGAAACAAGGTGTTGAAACAATTTGTCCGGCCTATGGTTTATAAGATGGTAGCAAGCTACAAGTTGGCCACAACTACCTTTCGATGCATTAAAAAAAAAGTCATCCTACACAGGATGCTAGCCAACCAGACCCACAGTCACAAACCAGCATCTGCATAGGGATAATCAGATAGTCATCTTCAAGAACGTGTAAATATTGTATTCCACAAATTCCGTTCCAATTCAAATTTTTACAAATTAAGTTAAAAAAAAATCTCTAAAGAACTCAATTGTTTTACATACCTGGGTCATATGATGGCGGAGGCGGTGGAGGGAGTTTTCCACCGTCTTTAAGATTAAGTCCTTTGGCTGCTCGTATAGTTGCTATAAATTCCTCGTGCTTTCGCCTCCAGTTGGAAGGTTTTTTGGGTGGTTCTGGCTAAGAAGCCAAAAAAGAAAGAGCTTTATATGTTTGAAGCTCTTACTTCAAGGTAACTATGTGCCTTATTTTAGTACACAACACTATAGTTAGATTTCTTCCAGATCCTAGTTGATCTAATTATCATGAATTGCCAGCAGAAATAAGCCTTATTATAATGCATACATAGCTTGCCTAAAATGTTCATATGCAGATTAAATTATAACATACCCGTGGCTTAAGAGGTTTTACTGTGGGAATGTCAGTTCCTTCCGCTCTCTGACGGCTGGAATCAAATGTCTTCCTTTTCTTGGCAGAAGTTTTTTGGCAAATGGGTCCATGCTTTTTCTACAAGCAGAAGAAAAACAAAAGGAGAATACAGAACTTAGTTTTGAAAACATAACTTATTAACACGTTATTTCCCTCTTTCTCAATATGCCAATCAGCTAACAAGGCCCAACGCTTGATGAATAAGATCAGACTGCTTTAACTCAAATATTTATGCCAGCCATTACTTTTTGAACAGAACTACAGGAATTCACGAATGCGTATACATGGTCACAAAAACTTGGGCGATGAGGAAGAAAAATAGGAGGCATCTATATTTGCTCCTTGCAAATAAAAAATTGATGGTAGGTAGGCAGCAGTTGCATTGAGTGGCAAGACAAATCAGAAGTGTCTGAAATCCATATTCATATTTAAGGACAGACCAACTTCTATTAAGACTGGAGAACACAGTATTTTGAAGATGGCTAGTAAAACACTTCATTTACTAGCTGAGACTGCATGATGCTAGGGCTTATATCTGCAGAGGCAAGGAACGATTCCGTGACCTTACAGAAGATGCTTTTAGAAGCATGTATTTTCAGAAAGTAATGGGATGCTGAAATAAAATTAACCTCCTTCTAAGGAGCTTCAAAACTGTGACAATTGGAATCAATAATTATTTGGGAAAAAACAACACACACACAAAAACCCCACCAGAAGCAAGCATCTAGATCTACTTTATTTAGCTATAGCAACCATTGCTTAACTCCCATATCAACTTATCAGATCTAAAAGCCAACAGCGCTCATACCACTTACCAGTGCTGCTGGAAAGAAAGTCCTTCCACAAATCCTACATGGCAGCAGATCTCCAGTTTGCACTGTAACCTCACCTTAAAAACAAAACAAAACAACACAACATACTTTTATAAGAAAATTTGTTTAAATTTGTGATAAAAATTTCTTCCCAGATTGCTAACCTCATATACTTAGCAATAATAACAGTTGTTACTGTAAAAGTATACATTCTTTGAACTGCACAGAGACTGTGCAGACCAGAAAGGAAAAGATGATACACAAGTCCTTACATACTTTTGGAAGCAGTCAGGCCCAGTAACATGTCAGCATCAATTCTGATAATTTACAGTACAAAACTCTGCACCTTTAAAGGGATACCCGTGTGTCAACATGCAAATGACAGATTCACTGTAAGTCACAACAACAGCCCAAACACACATGAAGAATAGCAATATTTAGTGGGTATTTCTGTGTCTTTGGAAGAGAATTGCCTGTTACAGCATCAAATATAAGTCACATCCCATCACTTATTTTTCTCTACTAAATTAAACTATTCCACTTTCTCTTGGAAAGAAAAATTCTTCAATGCTATTTTTACTGTATATTTTATTCAGATTACTACTGACAGTTTACAAAAGCATTTCTGATGTTGCTATTCAAGCATTGGTAACAAAAATGTAAATGGTATACTTGACATGCAACAGATTCACAGAACCAAATAAAAGACCAACAATGCAAGCAAATATATTCATATAGTACACATAATGCAATGGTGTCATGGCAGAGATGAAAAACTCCACAGGGTTTCCCAATAACAGGCCTCTATTATACTTAATACTGTACCAGAGATACAGGGATACTTTTATATCACATATACATCAATAAAGAGGCAGTAAGTTTGGATTAAGTTTGAGAATTACTAGTTGCTTTCTCCACACTCAGTCTGACTATTGCAGACAATACAGCTCCCTCTATTTATACAAAGTTAAAACAAAGGCGCTTTGAATTGACTTGTATTTTAGGCAAACTAGCGGCTTAAACTAACGAAGTGATGAACACAGCAACGTTCAATGATTTGATCAGCTTTTGTTCCCAATTCCCCAGTGGAAAACAGTTTTCCATCTGAACATACATACTTGTTAATTAACTGTAGGACCAGTCCTAAAGAAAATGGAAAATTTAACAAAATGTTTCATGGTAAACAAATGTAGATTCAGGCAGCCATGGTTCCCAGTGAAAAACTTTTTTTCCACATGTAAAGATTAAAATTGAGTGAGATTTCTACTACCAATATGTAACCATTAGGTCTATCTCTGCCTTTTTCAATTACTTGAAGTTCATCATCAGTATGTAACTACATATAATGTATTAATTGTATTAATATACTACAGAGCACAATCCATTTTAAGAATCACAAATCATATGAAAAGTGTTCTGCAGTTTAAAACATTTATGTCCATATCTTTAACTAATTTATATACCTTTTTCATGTAGACATGAATAGGTCCTTGTCACAGCATAGCAAGACTGTACTGACAGTAACTGAGTTTTACAACTGAAGTCATAATCAAGCTTCCTTTTGTGTCATCTAAATGTATGTGTGTTTAGATATACACAAGTAGGGGGAAGAAGGAAAGATAGAAAAAGTGCAGATAAATCTTGTTTTTCTTCTATTCTTGCACCTGAATTATACTTGCATGTTATCAACATTTACTAGGAACTTCTTTTTTATTGTTAACTGTATTTTTTTCAATCTCTATTTTAAACAATCATGTCTGAAAATTTTTCCATAGGTCTGTTTTCTTAAATCCACAAGCCTGAGCATAATGTTAATCACAAGTAATAACATGCACACTGGTCATACATAGCTTGGATGGAACCTGCCCTCACCATTTTCCTCAAGGGTAAGCAGCAATGGTTGTAAGCTTTTCTCAATTCTCCCATTCAAAAATACAAGGTATGCACAGATTTATTTTGTTTGTTTCATTACTTCATTCTTCAGAGTTCTCAGCACTCTTAATAATGCTAACAGGCAGTACTGCAAACTCACTTCTGCTGAAGTGTTCAACTTGCTTTTACTGCATTGTTCTAATACAACCCTCGGCTTTGCAGAAACAAGTGAGAGGAAATACAAAGTGACACTGTTTGTGTCTAAGAAATTAGCTGAAATAAATCAGAATTGGTGATCTTGAAATCAGGTGTATAGTATAAGATTAAGGATTTGACTGAGAGAAGAATTATTTCAAATATCTGCCTTAGTGAAAGAAGAAAAGCTACATTTTCCACCATATTCTTCTGTTCACTGAACTCTGGAATTCGAGCTTGTGTTTAAATTCACCATTAAAAGTAGACTTGATAGATGCTCACCTGATCGAGCAGTATTTACACACAACATACCAATGCATAACAAATGCCAATTAGCACTCACTGCAGCTACAGAGCTGGATTTCCTTACAGCATTCCTATCATCCTTTGCTGCTGGCAGGTACTCAGTCACATTTGCCAAGAGCTATTTCTACTTCCAACACCTCCTCCCCACTAATACAAATCACTGACCCAAAACACAAAAGGAAGTTATTTTAAAAAATGAAAGTTCCTTAAGTTTTGTTGAAAATGGGAAGCCTACAGTCCTTTATATTTGCACACTTATCCCTTCCATTTCTTGATCATTCCTCTGCGAATTTCCTTTTCTTTAAAGTAACCTCCCCCTCCCCCCCCCT